TGTCTCGTGTGTGTGTGTGTTAGTCTCATGTGTGTCTATGTGTGTTAGCCTCGCGTGTGTGTCTATGTGTGTTAGTCTTGCGTGTGTGTCTATGTGTGTTAGTCTCGCGTGTGTGTCTATGTGTCTGTGTGTTAGCCTCATGTGTGTAGGTGTATGTCTGTCTGTGTCATGGATTTATGTTCTGTGTCTGTTTGTGTGTGTGCGTGTTAGTCGCATGTTTGTGTCTATGTGTGTGTGTCATGGATCTATGGTCTGTGTGTGTATCTGTCTACGTGAGTGGAAAAAAACACATCTGAATCAAACAGCCTGTTTGTTATGAATGGGCTACAACAGTGAATTCATTATCAGCCATAGCACTGGGCCCTGGTCTCTGGGCACCAGCTGTAACAGACCAGATGTCAGCCTCACAAATACATGAATTTGAAATCCACCCAAAAAACAAAAAAAATGCAGTAAAGTAACACCATTACTCAAATTTCACATAAGCATTTCACTCAAAGTTTGTTCTGCATGAAATCCTCTGAAGGGAGTGAGCGAAGTGCGCGTCTCTCCATGTACAATATTATTTGCAAACGAGACCAAATGTTGTGTGTCCTGACTGAGCAGTGTTTTTGTGGCAGCAGCGGTGAGTCCAGGCTGTAATCACGAAGGGACAACATGAACCATCAACACACAACTGGTGTCAGCAGCAAACAGCAGCAGTGTCGCCGAGGGCTGCAGTGTGTTGACGAAACAAGAAGCGGATCACTTTACACACACTGACAATGCAACGCACACCTGCTCCACGGACCTGCCCCAGGACCTGCTCCAGGACCTGCCCCAGGACCTGCAGAGTATGTAGGCCTCAACAGACAACAGTTACCTATCTATAAAACAAATAACAGGGGCAACTATTTACTAACTAAGTAGTAAAAAGACATGAAAAAGAATGAACACTGAAAAATGTACTTGTATTAATTTGTATTTGTCTACACACGTTTGTTTACAAGTCTGAGGGAATGGAGTAGTAGAAGAAAGTAAATCAAATAGTTACTGCTAGAGTCTTGTTTAACCAGTTATACCAGAATGAAAATGGAAAAAGTTAGTATTCTACCGATAAATGGGAAAAGTATATTGAAACAGAAAACTCAAACTAAAATATAATGTTGTGCTGTATTTTGACTGGTAGATCAGGTAAATCTAATCTCCACAAATGCTTCCTAATTAGTTTATTTGATACATTTTTGGTAGATTTTTTTTTTTGTCCCACAGCTGTGAAATTTCAGGGTTGCATCACCAGTTACAGAACAGTATGAATCAGGAGCACCCAACACAATAAAAAATAACTCTACTACTATTACTAGTACTCTAACATAAAATAAAATCTCTAACTTTAGCATAATAAAAGAAGCAGGAAGCACCACAACCATTTCAAAACCTGTTTCTAGGATCAAACTTCTTGTCACACTGCACACAGTATATAAATATATTCATGAAGGCGGCTGCAGAGATGACTGAGCTACATTAGCAGATTGAAAAAGCAGCACACACAAAAGCAACAGCCCACTGCGTGCACCTACAGGCCCCTCAGAGATTTAGAGCATTTTAATTCTACGGAATGCGAGTCCTTTTCTGATAAGACGCAGTGAGAACCACCCAGCAGCACCAGTGAGAAAGAAATTCTGCAGTCATCTTAACGTTTATGCCCTCTGACCACAACAATGACCTCATGTTTTCTCTCAGTCACACATTTGATGATCCAATGACAAGTGGACTCTTGCACCTGCAGGCACGGCGTCTTTATGAAGTATAATGTGACAGCGTGAGTGATTCATGGCCGAGTTTGACCCATTTTCAGCAGAATTAACACAGGAAGTGTAATGATTTGCTTTGAAATGTTCCACAGTGTATACTATTTCACGCTTCTCTGCTTGGAGGAAAACAGGTAATACCACAAGCCGCAGGTCAAGTCACAAACACAGTAGCAATGCAGGTTTTTCAAGGTATATTACAAACAATAGTCATCACGAGTTGTTCAATAGCAGAAAGTGGAAGATTTCGAGCACAACGTCATCATCCTATAGAAAACCAGAACGAAGATCAGACTAACAAGCTCAATATACAAGGAAGACAAGAGGATCGAAATGGGTATAACAAAATATCGTAGTTGCAACTTGACCAGATCTTTCAAACAGTTCAAATTCTTACAATATGGCGGTTAGCTTTATGTTAAAAGGCAATACTGAACCTCAAGCAATACATTTCGAAGAATTATTTAAAATATACAGACAAATGTCCTCATCATTGACTGACTATCACTATTGAAACACTTCAGAAATATAGAAATTGTGTTGGGAGGGGCAATGATAAAACCTTCAACTAATTATTATGCAGATATGACCATTTTAAGCATTCAGGTGGGACCAGGAATCTGACATTATTTGAATGAGTGGGATGAAGAAATCTTTGCAAGTCTTTTAGTAGTTTCCAACATTATTCGACAACTATAATACAGCCAAAACTGGATATGGCTAATCATGCTAGTAACAAGTGAAGTTATAAGGAATGTGATACTAATCAGACATTTATTTTGCACCCATGTCCAAAGAGATGTGTCAGGGGGCAGAGAGAACAGGGCATCACTGTGGTTGTTAAAAACTACAGTCATAGAGAGAATTAAACACAAAGGGCTCGTTCTAAAGAAACTGTGTCAATTAATTTAACCAATGTGGAGACTCACAAGTGGAGACAGGACATAATGCAAAATACATGCAAATGTCACCCGACTCTCAGGTCACTATAGTCTGCAGCAGGAGCGCTCACTCTGGAGAAGCAGGATGAGCAAACTGCATGAAAGGGAAAATAAAACTTGTAAAACTCTGTAAGCTGATATGAGGTGACCGAGAGCTGAAGTATCCACATCCATACAGTCCATGATCCATACTCACCATATCCATACGCACCGGGAGGCGATCACACAGCGCGCTTTGTCTCAAACATCACGGGGAAAGTTTCTCTCAAAGACAAATACGTTTCTTACCTCGGGACGTCGGACATAGCTGCGCTTTGTTGAAGCCACAAACACTGGCGAAGGAAAGGAGCGCAAAAGAGAAAAACACATAGACGCAGCAGATGATTAAACCATAGAGTGGCCCGGGATGGCCGTGACGTCATCGGCTCATGTACGCAGCCAATGCGCATGTGCGGTGTTGTCCCGCACTGGTGCATTATGGGTGTTGGAGTAAAAGAAATACAATGAGAAATACTGGCATCGTCTGAGTGTGGTTCTAAGAAAAATTTACTGCATATGAGAAAAAATCAAATCACAAACTTAAAAAAATATATATATACGCAAAAAGACTGCATTTAAGATTTTAGCATAATGTATTGAGATTACCCCCACTGAGGGACGAATAAACGATCTCTTCATCTTAATCTTAATTAGTTATGGTTGTGAAAGAAATAGGGGATAATAATATTAATCATGATAATCATAACAATAATCACCATAATCATAATCATACATTTATATTAATAATAATAATGATAATAACGCAAGTAAATATTTTTTTTAATAAATTCAATTCTATTTTAAATAGCAGCCGTATCGGAGGAAATTACAAACGAACAACTTAATAAAAGGAAGAATAAAACACAGGAATTGCAATTATATATCCATAAATGTCCAGATTTGATGGCTGAGATTGATATTCACAGTGCGTTTGCTGCCTCCTTCTGGTGAAAACTAGTTCTTCACACTTTTTCTTATTGACTACACCCGTTTGTTTATGTATGTAACCATTGGAAAATGTACTTTATTTTTTATTGTTTGAACTTCACCAAATCCTGTTATTTTATTTCTATCCTAATGTTTATGGCACATTTTTAGCCCTTTTTGTATGTTCCCATTCAAGTCATATACCCCTGACTGCAGTCCGCAGATCGGGGCGGAGCTCAACGTGGGCGGAGTCAAACGTTTGACTCCGCCCACCGCGGAAGTTTCTTTTTTTTTACGGAAGCGTTTTTTTTTTTTCATTTTACCCTGATTTTAATCTTGATCAAGGGTAAAATCATCAAGTTGATGATTTAAAAAAATAATTAATATTTATCGGTCCCGATATGCTTTTCATTCTTCTACTCCTTTGTATATTATGTATATTTATAAACTATTTTTGGTACCATTATTTATTATTGCACCTGATTCTGACCGATTCTGATGTTACGCCTAAGCTTGTAATAATATAAAAAGCTTTTGTATGGGACACCATTCATTGTTATTTATATCAGGATCACATCTGGTGTCAAAATGTAAATCTTTGGTAAAACCTGTTTCTTTTTGTCTCAAATGCAAATACCAGCTTACATAATAGTAAGGTTACATAATATTCTATATGCATTCTTGTCTCATAAAATAAATGATACTAAAATAATAGTAATATGATTACATTTCCATGAGCCCTCACAACTTTACACACAACTTTTTAATGAGGTTCAGCTCCCACTGAACTAGAACAGTGAAGTGAAATCAACATTTAATATCAGGCTTCTACTTTCAACTTGTCAAAAGCCTTATTTTTTTACTGTCCATTATTTTTTATCCATGCTGCCTTCATTTAAAAAAATACAAATTCTTATATAAATGTATCCACTCAATTATATCAGCTACATTAAGGAGAACAGAGACTGAATTGTGCCACTGACACTTCTTAAAACATGCCGAGGTTTGAGGTGGGGTAGCGAGACAGTGGACCCAAGGATGCAGACTTGATGTTTCAAAAAGGTAAATTTTACACAAACAAAAGCCATAACCGGAACACAGGTATACAAAAAGTACAAACAAAATCACCAAAAACCACACTAGGAGAACCAAAACAAAGTGAAAATGCAAAGAAATGCAGCATGTGTGAGCAGAAAATTATCTCATTTCAAAGCCGGAAAACACCTGCAGCTGCCTTTTGTCCATCATTTCCTTGCAGAACTCCTCATAGTCTGCCTGCAAACTAAACATGAACATGAACGGTTCACTGAGGTCTTCTTTTATACTCTTCATCCAGGCCATCACACATGCGCAGCATTTCCACTGCCCTGCCAGCTACTTCGCTCTTCTTCTCCTCTGCTTCTTCTCCTTCTCTGTCATACGCACAGTCCTCAATGCCTAGCTCCCGCTCGGCGGAGCTCAACGTGGGCGGAGTCAAACGTTTGACTCCGCCCACGTTGAGCTCCGCCCCGATCTGCGGACTGCAGTCAGGGGCTACTCATTCAAGTTGCACATAATCCTGCACTGTCCCTTTAAGAGAAAGGTGTTTCGTTTGCTGCACCCTAGTAGTGCCGCCCTCAGTCTGCGCCTAGCGTCTGAGGAGGTGGGTCACATGTTTCACTTGTCATGATTCGGTTTCAATAATTAGAAAGCTTATTTTTATATCCAATTTAAAATGTTATTTATGTTCTTTCAAATCCAAATGTAAGTCAGAGCCATATGAATACATGTTTTGAGTCAGTAGTAGTAGTTTATGTAGCGTATCTGTTTCCTAAATCGGACACTTCGGGCTTAAAAAAAGGCACCGGTTACCCACTTCAACGGGCTATAAAAACATAAACGTAACTATTTCGCGAACGTTACTCGCATAAAACGGAAGTTAAAAGTGTTAGCTTTCGAACGATATATATGAATAATACCTTATTTAAATGTGGTTTTCTATAGGCTGTTGAAAAGACGAAAAACATCGATGTTTTGGCTAACCGGAACTATTATCCTGAGTCGGACACGTCAGTTCCAGTTTGTACAGATTCCATTCTAATTGATCCGTGGTTCCATCGCTCTCACGGCTCCGCGGCGCTGGCGCATAGGGTCCGAAATGAATTTCAACAGTTTTGCATTAACTTTGGGTAGTGCTAACTAGTTAGCACAAAGATCTTGTCTTTAATAACAATTTCCCCCTGGTCATTTATATTTATAAATTAAATATTTATTTATATTTTTACACTCATAAAATGCCACAAGCACACTTGAATTGTTTTATAATTTTAGGATTAAAGTTTCTAAATTCTTCTTTCCCCCCAACTAGAAAACTTAATATAGGTAGCATTTACTGTTGTAGCCAATTAACAAAAATAGAAAAAAAAGTATTAAATTATGGTATTAAAATGTTACAAAAATAGCTTTAGCTTACAGTAATACCAAAGACAACCTTCCCAGAAGAAACTTTGAAAAGATGCCATTTACATGTCAACATTATTTGTTATAAATCATATTTTATTAAACACATGAAGTCATAAGGTAATGGCACAGAATTTTAAAAGTGGATAAAAAAATGAATAGACATAAAGCCTTGTTTATTGAAACCCCTGCAGTGTCTCGGTGCCTCACATTTATCTCAGTGACTGACCCAGCTCTGCTCCAGTTTGTCATGATGTGAACTGTTTATATCTGTAAGTTTAATGCTCTGAATGTTATGTTAATGTCACATGTGTTTGCATGTGTGCAAAGCTTACAAACATCCCTAACCATGCCTTTGTTTTAACAATAGATAATGTTGATGCACAATGAAGGAAGAGCTGCCTCCGACTGACAGGAACTCAATCTTCACACCCAAAATACTCCAAATATCCAAGTGGAAAATTCAATGAGATGCTTAAGGGATGCAGGAGATGAGAAGAAGTGCTTCAGGTTTTGAGGATGAGAAGGGTTATACTGTAAAACAAGAACGTGAGAACATTAGAGAACAATAAACCATGAAAAGTGAGAACCCTCTTGCTTTAGACAGTGTGAAGTGTACAGGTATTCAAAAGTTCAAAGGTTGTGATGTTAGGAGTGAGGTGGCATGTATCCCTCTGTACTCTGTACTTGTACTGCACTAAAGAAAATTACCCTCAAACCTCCAATATAAGCCCTGGTCCCTGTGACCCACAGAGAGCCCTAGTCCCAATGTTTCATCTTGTAGATAATGACTTAAAGCATCAGCTGACTGCACTAATGTAGCTGGTGAGATTGTAAACTTAGTCATTCAGCCAACTTCACTTCTTGGTGGAGACCAGGAAAGACCCAGGACATGTTGGAGGGACTGTGTCTCTCAGCTGGCCTGCCAACGCCTCAGGATTCCTCCTGATGAGCTGGAGGAAGTGTGTGGAGTCTGCTCTGACCCTTAGGGGAAAAAAAGGAAGAACATATTATATTTTGTATGTTTTTCTCATTAATTGACCACTGTGTATGCAGTGAAAGAATAATGACCTGTGAAGCATCTTATTGAGTGCCCAAAAACTCTACACAAAACCCATTAATAATAATAATAGGGCTCGAATATGTATATTGTTTTAGCAATAGTTTTCAACTATTTAAATAATTAGTATTTAGTCTTGTGACAGTACCAGAGTCTAGATATGAAGTTGTAAATGATTGATTACTAAAATAGTTGATTTTTGAAATTGGATCATTTTTAAAATAGTTGTAATAAGAAACTGATCATTAAATGGTTTATTGAATCTTCGATAGTCTTTAACATGTGAGGAGAGGCTTAGTCTCAGCTAACTCCATATTGACTGCAGAATGAAAGGAAAATGTGTCTACAATCCAAGCAGGAGTCATCACTTGGGTCAAATGGAGAATGGGTAAAACTTTTTTTTTTTGTAACAGCCTTAGTTTCCATTATTTGTTGTCACACAAATAGTAAACTAATACTCAGATCTATGTCTCACTGACTGCAGGAGAACATGGACCAGTGGACTCACTCCTTCACTGTATCCAACAGATCAGTGAGTGGATGCAAAACAACTTCCTTCAGCTAAACGCAGACAAAACTGAAATGATTGTCTTTGGTCCCCAGAAACAGAGAGAGAGCGTTATCTGTCACCTACAGTCTCTCTCCCTAAAACCTTCAAACAAGGTCAGAAATCTAGGGGTAATACTGGACTCAGACTTAAATTTTAATAGCCACATCAAATCAGTAACATCAGCAGCTTTTTACCATCTAAAAAACATTGCCAGGATCAAAAACATAGTGTCTAAAGCAGACTTGGAGATTCTTATCCATGCATTTGTCTTCAGTAGGTTAGACTACTGCAATGGCCTGCTCACAGGTCTGTCCAAACAGGCTGTAAAACAGCTGCACACATTAAAAATGCAGCAGCTCGAGTCCTGACTAGAACCAGGAAGTACGACCACAGTAGTCCAGTCCTCAGGTCTCTGCACTGGCTTCCTGTGGCTCAGAGAATAGACTTTAAAACGGCTTTATAAGTCTCTCCATGGCCTCGCACCAAAATATATTAGTGACATGTTAGTACCATACCAGCCCGGACTCTGAGGAGGACAGGGACTGGACTCCTGTTAGTGCCCAGAGTCAGAACTAAACATGGGGAGGCTGCTTTTCAGATTCATGCTGCTAAAATCTGGAACAATCCTCCTGAAAGTGTGAGACAGGCCTCCTCTCTGACAATGTTTAAAACCAGGTTAAAGACCGTTCTGTTTAACTGTGTATACAACTGAGGGATTTTATATTTTATATTCTTATCTTTCTTTTTAATGTTCTGTGATTATTTATGATTTTAATGCTTTCTTATATATGTGAATTGTGCTATACAAATAAACTTGCCTTGCCTTGCCTAAACAAAATGGGAAAACATTTCTGGCCCCGAAAGACATGGACAGGACATAGAGGTCTGAGGGACATGGACAGGGCAGGTCTGACAGCTAATTTACACATCACATGTTACAGCACGTACGCTTTATACGCGCAGCAGACGCGCATAACTTTGTCCCATGTTAACCAATGAGGATATTTACACTACTAGTGTCATACGTGCGTATGACGGACGTAGGACGCGGGGCTGCGCTCTAATTTAGGATTGATTTCTAATTTTGTGCGCGCAGAAACGTGTCTCCCATTGAAATCTCATGTTTAACATGATTTTTCTAGCGGTCCTTGGCTCTCGATCGCATCTGCACACACACATGACTTGTATATAAACATTAGCAGGAGGAGCAGTAGGTTTTACAGTGATTCTCTCATCAGTCCTCTGTACTGTCCTCTACAGTGCTCCATAGACTACACTAGACAGCATCAGAAGCCGCGGACCTGCGCACAAGGCCAGTGTAGATACTGCAAAAAAAATTACACGCAGTCAACGCTTACGCACTGGTAACGCCTACTGTGTAAATTCCCTGTGATGAGGGGCATGGACACAGCAGGTCTTTGCTCCTCCGCTGAAATATAATTTTTCTCACCTTCTGCAGCTGTGATGATTGGGGTTCTTCAGGAACATGCACATGTGTCATGTCTGGACTTTGCCCCTGTTCTTACTAAGGCCGTGTCTGAGAGTCCAGTCCTGAAGGAGGAGATAGAGAAGTTAGCACTTTATTGATCACACAGTGGCAGAATTTCACCTGACAGCTGTTGGTTAACTCGTTATGTGCCATTGACGCACTAATACGGCAATTGCGTTTCTCTATTTTCATGTTCCTAGATGTCCATTATATCTAATATGTATGGGGATTCGCTTGAGAGCATTTTTTAATCGAGCCAGCAGGTGGCAGCAGCGCTCTGGATTGTTTGAAAACGGCTAGATGCACTTACCGTCCCTCGTTTTTCTCAGCTTTTTGGTGATTTCAGTAAAACTTCCCTCTACTCGACTGGGGATTACTGGGGAACGAAACAAGCTAGAAACAAAATTATTTTTGCTGCTGAAGTACAGTGCATTCTTTCAGAATCTGGTTTTGGATTCCAGTCATAGTACACAATATTCTGAGTCTTGAAAAATCTATAAACCCATCAGAAACTGCATCAGAAAGTACTTACGTTATTTCTAATCTGTCAGCGCACTGTTTAATGTTCTGAGGAGCTCACACGGCACAGAGACAGAACAGAACTGGCTTCAATAAAGAAACAGGTTGGTTGAAAGGCTGAAAAAATACTTATTGTGCTCTTACTATCCAAAATGTATAAGTGGGTGTGTTGTGTGAATCAGGATAAACTAGGGATGACAATATTCCATGGATCCACGATTTACAACCTTTATCTGCTGATAATGTAATTTCTGTGAAATGTGTGACAGCGGGCACTTGCTGTTATTTGCTCTAAGCACATTCAAGCGATGCACTCGAATGTGCACGTCCTGGTGCAGCTGCTGCCGCTTTGTAATGACAGCCGCGGCGCTCAGTGAAAGCACAGCTCTAACATGGTACCGAGCTCGCACCATATGCAGACAGAACCATGTTGCAAGTGCGGGTCTCCCTCGTATCTCCCCCGTTTCTCCCCTGTGTCTCTGACATGTCTCTCCCCTGACTCTTCCCAAAGCGCAACCAGCGCTCCCGAAATTAAAGCTCGGATACCTAAATTTTCCATTGCGTTAACGATGCATGCTGGTTCTGCGCAAAACACACCACAACAGGTCATTTAAGTTTTTATTTTGCATACTTGAGAGCCCTGTGAGTCATTACTTGCCTTTTTGGGTTGAGAATGGAATAAAAAAAAAAGAAAATATAGAAAAATCCACACTGTTACTTATTGCCAAACTCTTGTTAACTCATTGTATTGAGAAATACTATGTAACTTTTGACATTGGCCAAGTTATATAAATGATTCTGCAGTTCATGTATATGAATGTCTGTTTTTGATTGTCTATACCTTCTTATATAATTTAGAAAAAATGCCACCTCCACAAAAAAAGATAAAAGATATCAGGAGCTTTTTTAACAGTTGGAAAGTAAGTAAGAGAAAGCACAAGTAATACCAAATTATGAATTGTGATGATTAATCTTCTGTTAACATACATAGGAAACTCTGCTTCTCATTCAGTCTACAGCTGAGTTTAGTATAGAAGGCAACACACTATTGCAAATATAGTGTGTGATTACACAACAAATTCTGGGTGAGAAACTCTGGATCAATGGGTGTAGACTCAGGTCGTAGTGAATGTCCCCACCAAGATTGGAACCAAACCTACACCATTGCTGCTGGCAATATGAGAGTACCTGTTCTGAGATAGGCTGGTAGGCAATGAGTGTCTATTATTGTATTTCCATTCATAAACAAGAAAGGAGCCTGCATGCTGTCCTACTTGAATGGCTTTAAACAAATTTGTAAATACATTCAACAATGCAAGTAAGGCAGTGTAGGATCTTGTTTTTTAATGCACGGAACACCATTGAGAGGCTCATACACTTTTGAATGAACTCAATAAGCAGAGCATTTATTTGAAGAATATCTTGTACAGTTATATGTCTAATCAAACATACCTGACCTATGGTCCCATGGATGGTGGTTGCTTGAGCTTTGTATGAAGTAATTTCAAAGTAATTAGCCTTTTCTAAAACATTAATTGTGACTGATGTCCACCTCGTTTCTTTGTTCCTTAAAAATAACAAACACAGTTTAATCTTCATGTCCTATTATTGTTAATTCAACAGAGGTGAAAGTATTATAGTAGCAGAGTTTTTATCCACATAACAAATACAAAATCGGTAATATTGCTTCACTAAAACTTACACTCAAAGTAATACAAGATACATGTCAATATTATGTTTTCTCACATCACGAGCTGGAGCCTGTTTGCTACCAACCTTTCTGTCCATGTCGTGCTCAATAATAATTGTTACAGAAAATGGGGCAATGCATTTTCGCTCATAAACAATCATTTGACGTTGAGAAAAACAAGTTATATTAATATTGAAAATGATCAATTTAGATCCATCATTTGACATCAAATTTAACTTTACCTCTAGAAAGCGTCAGACAGTATGTTAAATCCGAATGGCCTGTGTAGTTGAAGCTAACATGACGTAATGCGGACTGAGGCTGTTCTGAAGATTTTCCAGAACTATTTTCAAACCAAAGCTAACAGACCGTCGCCTAAGCCGTCCGAGCGTGTAGTAGCATCAAAACTGCCTTCAATCGCGGATTACTCTATGAAATCTTAATATAAACAGACAAAACTTACCACGGAGGAAGATACACATGTACGCACCAAACGTTAGCCGCGAGCGCTAATGCTAACAGCGGCAACAAGGACGAGTTCGACAAAAAGGTGGGGGTGTCCGACTCAGGGTGCACTCCCGTTAAGCTTGGTTCACACGGCAGGATATTTAGGCCGATTTAGACCCGATTTACCCCTTACGACAATCTTAAGAAACGCTCCGATTTCCGTAACAAAATCTTACAGATTATCCTGCCGTGTGTGGTGTGTTAAGACTGCACTCGTCGCTCGGAAGGACATGGGGACTGCTCCCGATCTCAAATCGGGGATATCCAACATGTTGGATTGTTTTGGCCCGATTTCTTGTCGTGTGTGGTGTCCTCCGAGGACAAGCGAGCATGTTGCCATGACTACGGCGTGTAGCCAATAAGAAGACGAGGTGACAAGCCGGTGAGGAAACACCGGAAAAAAACCAAAACACAGCAGCATGGCTTTGACCATTGCCTTTTCTTTGGATTACGTGTCTTCTCTGTTAACAACAAACTGCACACTATCGCCACTGCATCCTCTTCGTCCGCCATGACTGTTTACTCTGAAGTCACGCTTTATCTCAAGAGATTTTGTGAGATTTCCGTCTGACCTGGGAATGCTCGGGCGGGGGGGGTTGGGGTGTCGGTTCGTGTGTGATGTTTGTGGCTTGCGTGATCTTGCCGTGTGGCTACGCACCACACACTGCACGACCAAAGTGGTTAGACGCAGGATTTTTAATCTCCCCTGTGGGGTCTAAAGCCTGGTTCACACGGCAGGATATTTAGGCCGATTTAGACCCGATTTACCCCTTACGACAATCTTAAGAAACGCTCCGATTTCCGTAACAAAATCTTACAGATTATCCTGCCGTGTGTGGTGTGTTAAGACTGCACTCGTCGCTCGGAAGGACATCGGGACTGCTCCCGATCTCAAATCGGGGATATCCAACATGTTGGATTGTTTTGGCCCGATTTCTCTTCGTGTGTGGTGTCCCCCGAGGACAGACGTGCGCGTTGCCATGACTGCGGCGTGTAGCCAATCAGAAGACGAGACGAGGCGGTGAGGAAACGCCTCCATATCACGATGTAGCAAGTATAGTCCATGCTCGTGTTGTCTACACTTCTTTGACCATCGCCTTTTCCACACACTGTAGGACCAAAGTGGTTAGACCCGTGATTTTTTATCTCCCTGTGTGGGGTCTCACACAGAGAAAAATCGGCCGACAATTTTAAAATCGTCTCGTGTGAACCAGGCTTAAGTCACATGTGAGAGCTAGCTTAAATTTTCCATGTGTTTGCTACTAACAGGGGACTGCGAGCTGTTTGTGTATGGAGACAGAGACCATGAGGATTTGTGTTTTCTTTTATTTTGTGCAGGTATGTGCAACGCAATATTGTTATTGTTAGTGAAATTGTTGTATTTTTTTGGTCTGTACTGTACTGTGCTCAGTCTGCGCCTAGCGTCTGAGACCGCGGTAAAGTGGCCCGCATCTTTCAGCTCTATGAACAAGCGGCCCGCATCGGGGAAAATACGGTGCGCGTTTCTTCGAGAACTTACGTTAACAGCGGAACATCCTTTCGGAGTCAACCATTTTATATCGAACAGAAAACGCGCTGGGGTCTGGGAGACACGTTTTTGTGATTAAAACCTTATAGAGATGCCACCCGGTACACATAGCACCAGCCCCCTACGATTTCTCCTGCAGATTGTGAGTCCTCAGGAGGAGAGCCACTCTATTGTTTACATATATAAAGTACACAATTTGGTCCGCTAGTGCAATTTTCAAGTATTGTAACTATTTACTGGAATAAGGTGTGCGACTAATTTCACTTGACTCATGACCTTATTATTGCCCTCTACCACTGTACCAAAGACCAGAAACTTTTACTGTAGAAATTTGGAGAAATATGGAGTTAAAGACCTTATGACGGGTTTGATTTATTTAGAAATACAGTTTTAATATCATTTTATATTAGAAGAGAACTACTAAAGGTTTCAAAATCAGTTGTTGTTTTTTTTGTCTGATCCCCCCAAATCGAAATAACCCCATAGCAACGCCCTTAGAAACGAAAAAACTTCACAGCCCTTGGTGACGTCAGAACGGGTACGTTTCAATGCTGTAAGTTGTTTACAATTTGGTATTCGTTCTTTTTTCGCGGATATTCAAGATGACAAGGCCGTGTACAGCTAGTCTAACATAACTACTAGAATGTAACGTTTTGTTGTCACTGAGATAGTCCAGTGGTTGTGTTGATGGACTGCCAATCCAGAGGCTTGGGTTCAAATCCCACCTCGGACAATTTTTCACACTCAAAACGGCAATTTAT